TTCTGTTCACAAAATGTTCAAAAAGAGATAACCACAAAGCGATATTTAACTGAAAACACTAGGGAAATGTTTACTCAGAATTTCTCTTCCACACTTGCCCCTGCCAACATCTCAGTAAATGAGCTAGTAGATCATTTTAATTCAAAAATTAAAAATGTTATAGATGCCATTGCTCCAACTAAGGTAAAGGAAGTGTCTGGCAAGAAAATATCTTCATGGAGAAAGGCCATGACCGTGAAAACAGAAAAAAGAGAATGTCGAAAAGCTGAACGCAGGTGGCGAAAAACAAATCTCCAGGTTCACTTTGAAATCTATAAAGAGAGACTTGGCCTTTATAATTTGGAATTGAAAAACGCACGACAATCGTTCTTCTCTGACATCATTACCAAAACAAAAACAACGCACGTGCCTTGTTTGCTACCGTCGACAGACTAACTAACCCCCCAGTGTCAGTAGCCTCTGAATTTCTATCCACCAGGGCGTGCAATGATTTTGCCTTTTTCACTGACAAAATTCAGAAAATCAGACAAGCAGTCAGTGCCTCTGCATCAGGAACAGCAAATGTGTTGTCCCTATGTCCACCTAATATCAATTCAAACACCATGACACATTCCATCAGATTAATGATAAAAACCTAGAGGACATTATTCAACTTCTGAAATCCTCCTCTTGCTGCCTTGATATTATTCCAACAGGATTTTTTAAAGATGTTTTTCCTTGCATGGCCTCAGATCTACTTCATATAGTAAACAAATCGCTTCACTCAGGTGTTTTTCCACAGGCCCTGAAAACTGCAGTCATTAAACCGCTCTTAAAAAGAATAATCTAGATGCTTCAGTAATGAACAATTACAGGCCCATATCAAACCTGCCATTTCTAGGTAAAATCATTGAAAAAGTTGTTTTTCAACAGTTGAGTAATTTCTTGCATTTAAATAACTGTTTTGATGTGTTCCAGTCAGGCTTTCGTCCAAACCACAGCACTGAGACTGCTCTTGTAAAGGTCTTTAATGACATCCACTTAAACACAGACAGTGGCAGAACTTCAGTGTTAGTATTATTAGATCTCAGTGCTGCGTTTGACACTGTTGACCACAGCATATTACTAGACCGACTGGAGAACTGGGTGGGACTTTCGGAAACAGTTCTAAATGGGTTTGAATCCTACTTAAAGGACAGAAACAACTTTGTTTCTATCGGTAAATACACATCTGAGTTGACAAATATGACATGTGGGGTTCCTCAAGGCTCCATCTTGGGGCCTCTTCTCTTTAACATCTACATGCTACCACTGGCTCAGATAATGAAGAACAACAAAATAAGTTACCATAGCTATGCAGATGACACACAAATTTACGTAACAATTTCACCAGGAGACTATGCTCCAATTAAAACACTGAGTAAGTGCATTGAACAAATCAATGACTGGATGTGTCAGAACTTTCTCCAATTAAACAAAGATAAAACTGAGGTAATGGTTTTTGGAGCCAAGGCAGAACGTATAAAAGTTAGCGCTGAGCTTCAGTGTGCAATGTTCAAAACAACAGATAAAGCCAGAAATCTAGGTGTAGTCATGGACTCTGACCTGAGTTTCAACAGTCACATTAAAACAGTTACTAAATCAGCCTACTATCACCTAAAGAATATATCTAGGATTAAAAGACTAATGTCACAGCAGGATTTGGAAAAACTTGTCCATGCTTTTATCTTCAGTAGACTCGACTACTGCAATGGTGTCTTCACAGGTCTCACTAAAAAATCTATTAGGAAGCTGCAGCTAATTCAGAACGCTGCTGCTCGAGTCCTCACTAACACTAAGAAAGTGGATCACATCACTCCAGTTCTGAAGTCTTTACACTGGCTTCCTGTGTGTCAAAGAATAGATTTCAAAATACTGCTGCTGGTTTATAAAGCACTGAATGGTTTAGGCCCAAAATACATGTCTGACCTCCTGCTAAATTATGAACCATCCAGATCTCTCAGGTCTTCAGGGACTGGTCAGCTTTCTGTCCCCAGAGTCAGAACTAAACATGGAGAAGCAGCGTTCAGTTATTATGCTCCAAATATCTGGAACAAACTCCCAGAAACCTGCAGGTCCGCTGCAACTCTGACTACTTTTAAATCCAGACTGAAGACTTTTCTTTTTGTCGCTGCTTTTAATTGAACTATTCATATCTTAGACTGCACTGTAACTTTTATCCATGTATTTTTTCTTTTAATGTTTATTTTATTAGCTTTTCTTTTTAATGACTGATTTTAAATGCCATTTTCTTAATCTCTTTCATTTTTTGTAAAGCACTTTGAATTGCCTTGTGTTGAAAAGTGCTATATAAATAAACTTGCCTTGCCTTGCCTTACTTTATTTATTTAATGACTTCATTGCTTTATTTCTATTTATATAAATATATATCCTGTGTTCCTCTGCTGCCACCTTCAGGATAGCTAGAGTAACATCAGCTCTACTGGACAGCCTCTACCTATGAAGGTCTGATACAAACACTCTAATTCATGAATGTGAAGCAGTGTTAATCAGTACTGCTTGTAGCACTCAATTACTTTGTTTACATTACTTGTTACTTGTTAGACGCTTTTATCCAAAGCGACTTACCTACTCAATACTGTGGACAATCCCCACAGGAGCAATTTGGGGTGAAGTGTCTCGTCAGTGGGGTTTGAACCTGTGACCCCCTGATCCGAACACCAACGCTCAACCCACTGCACCACACGCCTCCACTTCAGGATTTGAAATCAAATATGAAGTGCTTTATAAATTAAACCCATTATTATTATTATTACTGTAAAAATCAGAGTTTAATAAAGAATTGTTGATGAATTAGTCTCTGCGATTTTGCACGAATGTTTTTCTTCATTTTTTTAATAAAAATAAACATAGCAACGTTATCTATCCATCTAGCTATCTCTCTCTTTATCTATCTATCTTATAATAGCACGGTGATACAGAGCGGGGTCGCCAAAGAATGCGTGGGGATAGGCGTGTATATCCCAGAATTCAAAATATCATTCTCAAAACGAGTGTCAAATAACTTGTCAGTTTATACAGCAGAAATACTCGCAGCAATTATTGGGCTACAATGGGTTGAAGAGGTCAGACCTGATAGGGTGGTGATATGCACAGACTCACTATCTGCTTTGGAAAGCATACAGTTGACAATAACTGTTAGAGAAGATTTAATCATTGAACTTAACCACTGCTTACTGAGACTTCAGAATCAGAAACAGGTTTATCACCAGGTGGGTTCACACTTACGAGGAATTTGACTTGATGTCATGGTGCAGACATTACATATAAAACAAGAAATCTAATATAAAACAGAAAATATTTTCTCATTTGCGGAGCCTGTGAGAGATATAACCTACTATTCTTAAATGTGTCGGGATTTTAGAACTAATTAGAGAACCGTCGCCACCACGAGGAAATTATTTTTGGATTTTGTCGGAAGACTTTAATGGGTGAACTATGAATTAAGGTTTTAGATTAGAAAATAACCCCAGCATGATATGTTTAGTATGATTATAATGTTGTAACGAGAGAAGGTAAAAACCCTGTATTAGTTTGGACCTATTTTTCTTCAAATAAACTGATCCCACCTTTTGGATTGGAACAACTTAAAAGACATCTGCGCTCTCCTCTCCTGCTTCAAAGGTAAGATTGCACACTGCCTGGTCGAATTTACTTATTGTCGCTTTGGATAAAAGCGTCAGCTAAATGCAATGTAATGTAAATGTAATGCCACAAACACACCTAGGTAGGGCCACACCTCATTTACTGATATCAAAATCCTTCGGGATCGCTTAAACCGATTAAGAGGGTCGTCTGAATTGAGGTGAGATCTTGCTGATGTTGGTGGATCTGAGCCAAGCAGTAAACTTACATAGACTCAATAACTTCGGTTAGGTCAATTAGTAGGTCTGAGTAATTTCCAGGAATAAATTATCAGCTCCTCACCGACTCTTACACAGAATAGCTGAAACTTTAACAAAATAAATAACTCTGTTACCTCTAATCATTAACCTATGTTTGTATAATTATTTATTTTGTAAACATGCATACATTAATCTCAGCAAAGAGAAGAGATGCAATATGCCAGATTATAGCTAATAGCTCATTTCCATCTGTGGTCCTCAGACAGTCCTCCTAATTGAGTTAACTCCGTGTGTTTCTGCTAGCATACATAATACCTGACGTGGAAAAGTTACTCGTGGATTGGGCTACAGAGCTACTAGAAAGACAGTCGAAAACGGTGCATTTCTCCGTCTGAATGTGGTGCACTTTTGCAAGATGTTTAGACAAATTGCTCGTGTTACTGCCCTTACATGCTAAACTCTTATTGCACTTTAGTCCACGAGCATCGAGACGGGTAAAGTTTAACCACACCTCGGAGCGCGTTCTCTCCGACATCTCCTCCGTGGAGTGAAAGAAAATGTGGAACACATCATATTACACTGCAACATGTACAAAACAGAGAGGGACAAACTAAGAGACAGGGTCAGAGAGGCAGGATAGAGAGTGGAGCCTGATGGGGACACTGGGGACAGACGGTGAGGGGGTAAGAGCTATACCAGGAAGGCCATTCTTAAGTATTTGAGTGAAACAGGATTGATTGGAAGAATTTAAAACAACGTAAATACAGTGGTATTATACATTACATTACATGTTACTTGTTAGACGCTTATATCCAAAGTGATTTACATACTCAATACTGCGGGCAATCCCCACAGGAGCAATTTGGGGTTTAGTGTCTCAGGGACACAACGACACGCAACAGCATGTCGTTGCAGTGGGATTTGAACCTGTGCTCCCCTGATCCGAAAACCAACGCTCTAATAATCCACTGCGCCACAGCCTCCGCTGGTATAATTCCACAAGTGGTGATAGGATGATAATGGTGATACACACTCTGTACACTAGGTGGCGGTATGCCCCTTAAAGTTGTTTGCAATCCGCCTTTAAATTGAGTGAAGAAGAAGAAGTGATGCACCGGAAGTGATGGTCTCGCTCTTTCTAATGGAACCAGATCGCGTCTCGTGGCTTCTCTCGTGTGTTCTCTCGCTACATCCATGGTTCTCTCTCGGTGTTCCTGAGGAAGTGTGTGTGCACAGCTGATCCATCCATCGTCTGTGTGTCTGGATGAACCTCTGACTTTGTGCTCTTTCTTCTGAAGCCTCTAGCTCGGACTCTAGAAGCTAGCTTAGCATGCTAGCTGGTAACAAGCTAGCAACACAGAGTGAGAGAAACGGGAAGTGGTGATTTAGTAAACATGAGTGTTGTGCTGCTCTCGTTGGTGAAGCAGCGACTCACTGCGGCTGCTGAAGACATCTTTGTTCTGTTTGAAAGAACGATAGCAAAGTACGAGGAGGAACTGTCTCGTTCAAAACAGGAGAACGAGAGACACCGGAAACTACTGGACGCTGTTTTACAGCCTCAGCTTCAGATCCACAGAGCAGGTCTGTTCCCTCTTTATTCACTCTCTCTCACTCTTTAGACTCTGTATTAACTCGTTAGACTCTTAACCTGTTAAACCCCGAGCCTGTTTTTCAGGTTTCAGGCTCGAAAATGACATTCCCAGAACAAATGACTATAACTTCACTTCTAAAAGGTTTATATGAATAATTGTGGTTATCAAAGCAAGGTTACATCTGTGAGTTGGATGTAGAAGTGTCAGAATCAAAATAGATGTTTCTGTGTCAGAGTAAATTCAGATGGAACATAGCAACAACATGTAAATTCCTGTCTCCGCCTAAAGAAAACCCATTACTTATAGTGAAGACCAACCTTGAATGATGGGTTAGTAGCCTAAAAGCTTTAGGAATCCAAAGTATAACATATAAGTACCCTGTATCAAGATTGAGGCAAAACAAGTGATATTTGACCTTTTTAGAGAGGTTTATGAAAATAAAGTCCAGGCGGAATAAGCTTTGGGCACATTTGGTTCCATCAGTGCCATTTGACCTTTTTCAGGTACCAGACTATACAAATCATTGTATTACATTGAATCATCACTATAGGTATTCATTCCCCCCAAACAAATAAAAAAAATAAGTGTTTGTGTGTGTGTGTGTGTGTGTGTGTACCAACGCGCTATACAATAAAACTACACTGTAGGTCATTGTGTGTAAGTGTACTTGCACAATAAAAAAAAAAACGGAAACATAGGTAACATTTGACTCCAACTGGGGCAGATTTATTTCAAACATTTTACCAACACACTATAGGCATGTAAAAACAAACATTTTACCAACGTACTATACAATAAAATCACACTAGGTATATAAAAACAAGTATTTTTTTTAAAATAAACACTCAAAACGTTATACCTACCTGAACTTTATACCTACCTGAATGTTCCAGTATTTAGGTCGTGCCACTCCCTGAAACAGTTCTTTTTGACAGTGAAGCACAGAGGGACCTGGCACTTCCTGCAGTACACAGGTGTCTTCACCCTTTTGAGTCCAGCATCTAGGCACCTCCTGCAGTTCTTCCTGACCTTGGTGGCATCTTCTCCATAATACTCGGGCATGCATGTGAGTGGTGGAGGTGCAGGGCCTTCAGCAGGGCCTTCAGCACACAAAAAAAAAAGTTTTCATTTTGTATAATCATTTTGTATAATCATTTTTGCGTAAAGATGGCACACTAGTGGTGGTGTTCCTGGCGGGATTTGAACTCACAGCCTTCCGATCTTCAGCCCACCTCACTATCCATTCAGGGGTGCCCACACTTTTTGGGCTGGTGAGCTACTTTTGAAATGACCAGCTCACCGAGGTCTACCAACCAAAAATAAAATCCCAAATTGCAAGGGTTGCTGAATAACACGTTTTATTTATACATGGGATAATAGGGCTGCAACAAACGACTAATTTGATAATCGATTAATCTTTCGATTAATGAAACGACTAATCGACTATTCGGACTATTACTGTATGCCTTGCACAATTTCTCAAACGCTCTTATTTAGCCATCAACTTTTAGATGTAGCTTGAGGTTGTTTTAGGCATGTGGAAACTAACAATGAAGACAATAAAGATGAATACTTGATTCAAAAATACATATATTATTAAATTAACAAATTGTTTACAAAATTAACATTGCTTTTTATTTAAATAAAATAAATAATATTTCGCATCAAAAGAAACAACAATGTTTTAACAAATCCTATTAAATAATCTAATGACAGAACTGTAAACAGAATAGCTGAAACTTTAACAAAATAAAGAGTAACTCAGTTTCCTCTAATCATTAACCCATGTTTGTATCATGAGTTAACTCCGTGTGTGGCTGCTAGCATACATAACACCTGACGTGGAAACGTTCCTCGTGGATGGAGCTACAGAGCTGCTAGAAAGACAGTCGAACCCGGTGCATTTCTCCGTCTGGATGTGGAGCACTTTTGATAAATGTTTAGACACATTGCTCGTGTTTCCGCCCTCACATGCTGAACACTCTTGGCAACGAGAATTGTCCACCTCAAGACGGGTAACATTTAACCACACCTTGGAGCGCTTCTCTCCGCCATCTCCTCCGTGTGTTGCTGCTTGTAGCAGCCGAGTGTGTGTAAACTGCCCCGCCTCCTCGCGCACAGACGGGGGAGAGAGATCTCGTCTGGATTGGAAAGGTCAAAAATACACCGACCATAGACGCATTTGTTTGTCTTTTTGCATATTAGAAACGAGTTGGCGACACTAAGACTGCGAGATCATGTTTGTGTAGCAATAATACATGACCTTTCTCTTTCTCAACTCGCTACTCGGAGGGAAGTCGCTGTCATATGCCTTGTGAACACTCCGATAATGCCTCTCCACGTTACCTTTCTTTGGCAGAGCGACGCTTGCTTTACAAATAAGGCAAATAACCTTTGAATGTGACATCACAACAAAATATTCTTCCTCCCATTCTGGGTGGAAGTGGTTTGTCTTTAGCTTCTTGCTCGGTCCCGCACTCATGTTGTTGTTTGTCTCTTTAACTTAATTTGAGTTTTCCCGGCACTTGACTGATTTTGTATCGCTTTGCATTCTGGGTTAACAGACTGGAAAGCGATAGGTCGCTTTTTCTGTCAATCAAGTAAACTCCTGAATTAAGTGGCAGGGAGGAGGGATCAAAACCTGTTGTGTCTATTTTAACGGAGCTGGATTTTTTTTTTTAAGAATGACTCGCGATCTACCAGCTTTGCCCCGCGGGCGACCGGTCGACCGCGGGCGACGTACTGGGCACCTCTGCATTAGATCAATCACTACCCTCTCAAATGGAAATATGTGTTTACATAAATGGTGACCACACCGTTTGAGACCCACTGAGAATTTAGACTAAGTTAACTATCTAAACACTCAGAGAGTCCTTTACCTCACCTGAGCTGAGGTTATCCCGAGCTTGAATGACACACAGAGACCAATCAAGGGCTTTGATTTATGATCTCTATGACAGTGGCCATGTTGGCAGGCCACATCATGTAGACAGCCAGTCACCCTGTGTGAGGCAGGCCACTTAACGAGGCGAGATCAGAGCAAGGGAGCGAGGGATCATTGTCGACAAGTTAATCGATTGCAGATGGCGTCGTGGTCACGGACGAATAAAAAAAATAAATAAATAAAAACTTTTTTAAAAAAAAATGGGTCGTGAAATATACTTGGGCGGCCGTTAATATACCTGGGCGGCCCGCCCAAGTATAGTCTATGTGTGGGAAACCCTGGTAATATATAAAAACAGAGATGACATACCTTTCCCGTGGTGGAAGTTCAACATCCGAGTCACTACTGTCCGGATCCAGGTCTGGCTGGAGGAGATCTTCATCATCTGACGAAGAGTCATCTGGAATGATCATAGCCCCGCTATCGTCAGCTAGCATCTCTAGCACCTGCTCGGTGGTGAAGCCCTTCTGGATGCGTAATACGTAATGGAGCCGGAGCGGGCGTAGTTTATACTACGCAGGATCCTATCTTTGGAACCCATTGGTCGATTTGGGTGATTGACACCTTTTCTGAACCGTTAGAGCCAATAGAATCGAGTGACAGTTAGTAAGTCCCGCTAAACACTTACGTCAAGTAGAGAGAGGTTTGCGTAAACAGCACGTGAGACAGCATTAGCTCGGGACTGCAAAACTTTATACCTACTCTGCTGCCATGAATGTAATGATAGTTTATCAGGAACAATTCTAAAGTGACTAAGAGACATTGGATTAACTTTAAGCAGCGTTTTTATTCCCTTGAACAAGAGCTTTGATCACAAAACAGCAACGGTAAGACATAATTATTGTTATGGTTTTGAAAACTGTTGTTTTTTTTTCTTCTCTGTTCTGGCTGCTAGCTCAGTGAGTTTGTGTCCTACAGTGATGATACTTATAACAAAAATAATCTGTGGAGTATCAGCTTTCAGATGATATGTAGTTTGTGCAGAAAATATTAAGTTTTTTAAAGATCGTTTTTGCTAGTTAGCACCGGAAGTAGCATCTGCCCGTTTTAGCTAAGGGCTAATGCTAACGCTTCTTGTGAGACTTGTGTTTTGTTTCGGTAAAAATGGTTCATATCGTTAGTTAGCTGAGATTCTTCTCGTTAATCTGGTATAACACATTAATAGGTCTTTAAATATTAAGATGCCCTGAGACACAGTGTCGTGAAAAAAAAAACAGGCTTCGGGCTTAACAGGTTAATAGCTGTCTCTGCCGCCTGACGCTCTATTTGACACCATGTTCATATTTCTGGAGTAATTATACAGTTTCTTGATGAACATAAATATTGTTTTTCTGGCATCACTTTAACATTTTATGGGGAAAATCTGCATTTTGGTATGAGGCCGGAGAATTCACAAGACGTGTCACGAGCCATGAGTTGACACAACGGATTCCAAACCAATTCTGAGGATCTCTACCCAGACCCATGTATTTAGCTGGTTCTGAGAGAATAATCAACATTGTGCATAACAAGATAAAACCATAACACCTCTTTCAGCTGACGCCAACAGGCAGGAACAGGGAGACAAACCACTGAGAGCACAGCAGTCAAGCTACAGGTGCGTGTGCTCAGTGAGGTCAGTACAAACTGATAAACTGGGTCACAGTTATGGGCCTAAGAAAATATTTCCCCAACAATTCTTCCCTTTTTATCAATTTTGATAAACAAAACCTACCCCAATAATACATTTTGTTCAAATCACTAATAAATGAGATTATCCGGAAAGGGTGTTGACATTTTGCATATTGTGTGACACGCTACAAAAAAGTACTTTCTGAGATCAAAAACTCTGTTGCAAAATAATGTGGTTTAATGAAAATTGGAATGATCCACTTATTCTCCTTGGACATGCACAATAGCCGCGTTCACACCAAGTACTTTGCAGTACTTAGTTCCCAGAACTTAATTCCCCTATGGAACTAAGAGCCGATCACGTTCACACCGGAGTACTTTTCCCTGAGAGAAGATTACGCAAATGAAGCCGCTGATGTCACTTCGTCTTCTTCTGCTTTGGGTTTACTGGCAGGCCGCAAACGACTTCACGGCGTATCCTGCCACCCGAAGTCCCGGGCCGGAAGTCCCCGGAGTTGGGGACTGCCTTCAGTAGAAGCTGCTGGGATTCCCAGCAGCTTCTACTGAAGCCTTCCGAGTAAATCGCCAGAACGCCGACACCTCCTCATCTCCACCGCTCCCATGTTTTATTTTGTGTTGCCATAAGTTAATCTCTCTGCGTTTGTGCGCTGGGCGAATGCTAATGCTTATAATGCTAATGCGAGGATAATAAAATGGCGGCTCTACAAAACATTTCAGAGTTTTACGGGCGTGGTTTGCAATTCGCCCAGCCAATCAGAACTGGGGTACTTTTTCCCCCAGGAGAGTACCACCTCTCAGCAGGCACTAAAAATGGGGGTAAAAGTTGAACAGGATTATAATGAGTGCTCCCATATCCATGTGACCCAAGCCAACCAATCAATAGTGCTCAAACAAATATCTTATATTAAAGTGGACCTATCATGCTATATTTGAACAATATATTGTAGGGCCATACCTATATAAATATACTTTTTCTTTTCAAAATACCAAACCGATCATGCATTTTAGCCTTGCCTCATTTCGCTCTATTTGCTCTTTTCCAGCCCTGTTTTTGCAGGGGCTGATTCTGTGACATAGCTTTAATGCAAATGAGCTGCAGCTGACCACGCCCCCCTGCAGGAGAGGGGAGCATGCTTTGAGGTCAGCTGCTGGGCTCTCAGAAGAGGGGGAGAAAAAGAGATCTCCGTCCTCCGTGTTTTATTCTTATATGATTATATAGAGTCATTATTCATTTGTTTTAAAGCTCAATAAATAACAAAGAAGACCTTTTGACCGGTACTTTTCTAATTTTGTCTGGAAGATTTCAACTTTAACGGACATGTTGACCAGCGAAAACAAATCTAACAAACTCTGCCTCGTCCCTTGGAAGAGGCGGAGAGGTGGGTGTTTGTCATCTGCTGGTGGACTACCGGAGAGAATTACAGTGCTGGCCTCGACGGGGAGGGATTGCATTGAATTACAGAAGCAAACGCTTGCCTCGGGGAGGGAGAAAAAGAGCCACAGCGGAGAATAAACAGAAGGGCAACCATGCGTGGGAAGTCTTCTTTTTCGAGGAGGAGGAGGAGGAGGAGGAGGATTTTGCCAAACAATTATAACAAAACCAGGCCTATCTCTACATCTATCCTTTGAAACCAAAACTCAAACAAAAACCCTCACTAACTAAACTACAAAGACTTTGACAAAACAATATACAGGGGTGGCAACAATCCGCTAACCTAGTGTGTCTAAACATTAGTTAGCTACGTGGTGAGAAATGTACTGGGTACCCCAGACTTACCTAACTCCTCCACCTCTCAACACACACACTTTCAAAAAGGTCTGACAATACAAAGTGAATTAGTTGCTAAACACTGCAGGCTCCTTCATCAGCAACAGGCCCAGAGTGAGAGAGCGAGAAGACTTCCTGGGTGCCTCCTTTATGGTCGGCCCTGGCTGCTGATAGGCCAGCTGATGGGGAGAGGATCCAATCAGCCATCAGACTCAGGTGCACAGGCAGATGCCGATCAGCTGCTGATTAGCTGTGCAGAAGACAGGGAGAGAAACACAGGAGGGAAGGAAAACCACACCAGTACAGCCTGCCTGGCACGTAACACCCCCACACATTCAATTCAATTCAATTCAAAACCTTTATTTATCCAGGTAAAATCCCATTGAGATCAATGATCTCTTTTTCAAGGGAAACCTGCAGCAGTAGGTTCCACAAGAAGACATAAACAACAGAACAACAAAAGCGGACTGTCTTAGGGAAGAAAGCTTTTAGATGTGCAGCTCCACTAACATGGAACAGTCTGCAAAAAGAACGGAAAATTACCTAGCTAGTACCACTACATTTTTTTAAAGCTCGGTTGGATGCTACAAAATCAGATGCTGTTGGTACCTGTACATGTGGTTAAATATGTAAATTGTAATCCCTGTACATTTTGCTGTATGATGTCCTTTTGTTGTTCTGTTTATGTTTTTATGTCTTCTTGTGGAACCTACTGCTGCAGGTCTCCCTTGAAAAATAGATCATTGATCTCAATGGGATTTTACCTGGATAAATAAAGGTTTTGAATTGAATTGAGATGCACCTGTATGAGTCCAAGTACAGGTTTAGCGAGGCGGTGAGAGATGCTAAACGACTACTCTGAGAAACCCCAACACCAGTTCTCAGCTAACGACTCTGGAGACAGGTCACAAACTATAAGGCTACGGCCTCACACTCCGTGAACGGCCGACCGATCTGGAAAAGCATTTAAAATAAGGAATGGATAAGGGCTGCAAAGTTAAAGAAGTGTTAATCGTGGTTAGATTTTAAATTCTAATACTCTACAGTTTTCTCTGAATATGTGTTTCCTGTTTCCTGCAGACGTCCAGCTGCTGGTGGTGGTTAAAGAAGAGGTTCCCCCTGAACAGCAGGAGTGGAGCTCCAGTCTGGACCAGGAGGACCCGGAGCCCCCCCCACACATTAAAGAGGAACAGGAGGAACTCTGGAGCAGTCAGGAGGGAGAGCAGCTTCAAAGGCTGGAGGAGGCTGATATCACCAAGTCCACATTCACTCCTGTCCCTGTGAAGAATGAAGATGATGAAGAGAAACCTCAGTCCTCTCAGCTTCATCAAAGACAAACTGAACACCTGGAAACAGAAGCTGATGGAGAGGACTCTGGAGGACCAGAACCAGCCAGGAACTCGGATCCAGAGAGACATTTACAACCAGAGACTGAGGACAACCCTGGAGACTCTTCAGAACCTGAGACTGGAGACTCTTCTGAACCTGACACTGAAGACAGTGCTGATTGGAAGGAGACCAGAGAACCAGGTTCAAAGTCTCAGAAAAATAAACAAAACCCTGTCAGTGATTCAAGACGTAGTGCAGGAGAGAAACCATTTAGCTGCTCTTTGTGTGAGAAAGAAATTCGCAGCAAGTCAAATCTAAAAGTACACATGAGAATCCACACAGGGGAGAAACCATTCAGCTGCTCAATTTGTAAGAAATCTTTTGGAAAGAGAGGAGATTTAAAGGACCACATGAGAATCCACACAGGAGAGAAACCATTCAGCTGCTCAATTTGTAAGAAATCTTTTGGACAGAGAGGAAATTTAAAGTACCACCTGAGAATCCACACAGGAGAGAAACCATTCAGCTGCTCAGTCTGTAAGAAATATTTTGCAAAGAGTAGACATTTAAAGTACCACATGAGAATTCACACAGGAGAGGAACCATTCAGCTGCTCTATTTGTAAGACATCTTTTGGACAGAGAGGACATTTAAAGTACCACCTGAGAATCCACACAGGAGAGAAACCATTCAGCTGCAGTGTTTGTGACAAAAGATTCACCCGGAGATATCTGGTCAAAATCCATAAGTGTGTTGGTCGTCAGTCCTCACAGCTTCATCAAACTCAAACTGAGGAGAACGGAGAGGCAGAGCCTCCAGCCAGCATCTCAGCTGAACACATGGAAACAGAAGCTGATGGAGAGGACTGTGGAGGACTAGAACCAGCCAGGAACTCAGATCCAGAGAGACATTTACAACCAGATACTGAGGACAACCCTGGAGACTCTTCAGAACCTGACCCTAAAGACAGTGATTATTGTTAGGTTCAAACTCTTTGAGGTAGTCCCAGTAAATGTGTATAACGCGATACCTGCTCGAAATGTGTTAAAACATCATTGCTCTAAGTGAAGTCTGAATGTGCATTAAAACAAATATTAAGCACAGAAACAAGTCCATTGTGCTCTTATGACACAAAAGTAACCAACACACTGACAGAGAACCAGAGCCAGCCAAGAACATGACTTTAGCTTCTCCTGACCCTGAAATCAGTGGTGATTGGAAAGATCTGTTATTCCGGTTAAACACTCTAAACCAGTGGTTCTCAACTGGTCAGGCCTCGGGACGCACTTTTTTCCTTTGTCAATAAATCGCGACCCGACATTTGCTTATTTGCTTTTCAGCAGACAAAATCAAATAAAGTGAAGTACAGTGCATATATCCCTTATATCCCTTCACAGAACTAAAGTATGCTTTTAAAAAAGTTTAATGAGTTGATGGAATCAAAGCTGCACTGTATAACATAAAAAGGCACACATGCTGAAAACCCAACCCCAGCAGGAGATTTTTTGAAATGCTAACATATAAACTACGCATTCTGGCAGGGCCATCCCTGGCCATTTTGTGGCCCCACGCAAAGTTATATGATGAGGTCCTCCGTGTCCCAGCGGCAAAACTGTGCCGCGCTTACACTAATTGCGCCGCATAACGGTGCGCTCAGTTGAGGGGCCCCTCCGCAAGATGAGGCCCCACGTGATCTGCGTGTAGGGAGGGACGGCTCTGCATTCTGGTACACTGAGAAGAAAATAAATAAATCTATTAGGCTACTACCTGACATATTAATAATATTTGATGCCATTGTTTGTGTTTCACTTTGTTCTGAAGCTGAACTTGCTGCTCCTCACAGAGAGAAGAGTAAAGAGGAGATGGTCTGTGTGAATTACTTTAAATTGTGGGTAAGGGTAGAGAGCTCCCATTGTACTGTGACCTGTCAATCATCAAACCGGGGGTCATATTTCATTATGTGTTCATTTATATCTGAAGTTGTACCCGTGGGTGTATCTGAGTGTGGGAAAATATTACGCCTGAAAGACAGTCTGAAGAGACGTGAGAATTCACATGGGAGAAGCCATTTGGTTTCTCAGTTTGTGACCAAAAACATAGACATAAAAACCAAAGTGAATCTCCCTTTGAACAAGAAAAAGCAACGGCTGATCTCTTATCGTTTAGTTGATATCACTAGCTAATGTGAGTTACATTTCATCCTGATGCTTTTGAAGAATCGTTGTTAATAAAGTGAACTCTTTTTGAAAAGGAAGGACTCGCTGTGTTAAAACTTCTTCCTGCTGTGTCCCACAAGCTGTTCAGCTGGGATCCGGCTCCAACCCGAAACACCGACACTATCTTACATTGCTGTTGGCGGCCCGCCCTCTAGCTCCTGGTGCACCACCACTTATTGCTGTTTAGCTAATAAACGTTAGCTATTGTTTAACCCCCTGTGGTCAGACAGTGCGGACCTGTGTCTACGTTCAGGAAGTGAGGGGAATTATAAGAAAGATTGTTGTTGTGTTTTTTTAAGCAGACCCGGCAGCAGCTCCAAACAACTGTGACAGCTTAACAGTTAATTTAAAAGCTTAACAACTGTTTATTTTGTCAGTTTGATAAAGCTGGCGAGGCTATGCAAAGTAATAGCAATTACATTTAAACAGGAAGTACCAAGACATGTGGAAGTCTGCTTGAAATGATTTATTTATTAATTACCTATTTTTGCCGTTGATTTCCATCCAGTGCTTATGTATAATTAATAATGTATTTAATATCAGTTATTATAGTATTATATGCCAAATAAACACATTTTATAATAACATAAAGGATCACCCTTCCTCCTCAGTCCACTGGAAGTATTTTTATTTATTTAAACATGTTTGCTCTTTGTTCTTATGAATAATTATGAGTTACATTTTCGAAATATGCCAAAAATAAAGGTAGTACCAACCCATTTCACACATCTATATTCTGTGTTATGATTTTATGTTAATCTGTCAGTGAATCATTATTTAAATTAGTAGAGGCTACATCAGATACCCCTCTCTGCAGCTGGAGGTGTGTTTGTTTCTGCCCCGGGGCGTCCCTGTGCTTTCAGAAGGTTCCTCTCTGCAGCAGGAGGTGTCTTTGTTTCTGTCCCGGGGCGTCCCTGTGCTGTCAGAAGGTTTGTCTCTGCAGCAGAAGGTGTGGGTTGTTCCTGTCCCTCTGAGCAGTGGTCGTCCCACGGGTTGTCCTGGGGCCTCATTTATAAAGCGATATACGCTCAAAAAATGGCGTACGCCAGTTTCTACGCAATGTTTGCGATTTATAAAATACTAACTTGATGGGAAAACGTGCGGTCCTCCATGCAAACTCTAACCCATGCGTACGCACAAAGCACAAAAACGGGAGAGACGAGAAACTGAGACACCGTTGGCAGAAGGAAGAATGGCACAGGCTGCAGTGGAGACGCTGCGCACAGCTGATCGACAGCTGGAACACAAACCACCAAATACAAAAACATAATTCAGATCCAGTGGTCATGACTCCACTCCGGAGGGATTCCCCGATCACTTCTTACAGTCTCTCATCAAGGGGGGGTCTCCTGTCCCTGGTACAAACACACTGCCTGAGGAAGGCTATGTGTATTGTTTTTGTCATTAACCTTTTTCGGGCCATTTATTTATTTATTTTGGTGACGATCCGACCTCCATGCTGCTGCTCTGGTTCAAACTGCATCCACCAAACAATATGATTTATCTCGACCTCCCCAAAATAACCCACATCCGACACGGTGTGAGATGTCTTTGTTAGCTGTTCTGTCGTCATTTCCTGCTATCTTCTTCATAAAGTCAGTCAAAATGAATGAATGAATGAATGGGCGTTTCTTTGACCATTTATAGGCAAATATGGGCGTTACGTGAAGCCCGCAAAAGCTGCACGCATTTAGAGTCGGTTGTGATTTATAAAGGGAAACCGGCGTAGGAAGTGCTGTACGCACTTTCCTCGCCGGTACGCAATGTTTGTTGAATCGGGAAGTGGCGGAAAATGTATGGAACTATTTTTCGGATTTCTACTACGTAAGCAACCTTCCCACGTGAATCCTACGCACGGCGTTATACAGAGGCCCCTGCTCACAGTCTCCACCTGCCGACAAAAATAATAATATAGGTTCAACCTGGGTAAGGATGAAAATATGTATACAAATAATAATATATAATAATATACAAACACTACAAATTAAAAATTCGATTAAAAAAACTGCGTAAAAACTTTACAAATATATTTTAAACAGTTGATAATAAAAGTTTAAACAATAAAACTAAATATATAACAAATGTATACAAAAATTAGAACCTAATATAAAAAAGACTAAAATTAGACATTTAAACATCACAAATAAATAATAAACATAAATATAAAATATATATAAACAATAAAATTATACTTATATAAAAACGATACATACACACTCCCAACTAAATATGTAAACATGGCTATAGACAGAAAAAATCATACATGTGATCAATACATAAACACTGGAAGTACATTTTAAATTTGAATAATAAAACTAAATATAAAGTCAATTATAATAAAATATATGAATAAAAAGAGAAATATAATATTTAAAAAAACCTAAAAGAATATATAAATATTCAAAATAAATATACAAACACTACAACTAAGCTAATGCACTTGCTAAATAAATATATTAAATATAAACAATAAAACAAAAATATATACACATTTGAAAAATAATAATAAATGTATATCAATTATAGATAGACACTCCAATTAAATATACAAACATTAAAACAATATAAACAAATATTAAAATACAAAAATATTTTAAAAAATAAAGACACGAAAAAATATTTAAATGAATATTTAAAAAGTAAATATTTAAAAACTACATTATGTAAACATGCTGACTCACCTGAGCTCCAGGTGCCGGCAGTGATGGAGTCGGAGGTGCTGGAGCTGGACCTGAAGCTGGGCTGCAAAACATACTGTAGTTATGAGACTGAAAAAGACTCACACTCGAGTCCTCACTAACACTAAGAAAGAGGATCAGTCCAGTTCTGAAGTCTTTACACTGGTTCCTCACTAACACTAAGAAAGTGGATCAGTCCAGTTCTGAAGTCTTGACACTGGTTCCTCACTAACACTAAGAAAGTGAATCAGTCCAGTTCTGAAGTCTTTACACTGGTTCCTCACTAACACTAAGAAAGTGGATCAGTCCAGTTCTGAAGTCTTTACACTGGCTTCCTGTGTGTCAAATAATTTATTTCTAAATACTGCGACTGGTTTATAAAGCATTGAATGATTTAGGCCCAGAATACATTTCTGACCCCGTGTATCTCCTAATCGTTGTAACCGGCCTGCTCTCGTCTATCCCACATGCTCCACTGAGATCCAACATCTAGTTTCAGGTGGCCTGTGGAACTGCCAGTCAGCTGTTCCTAAGGCTGACTTCATCTCTGGCTACGCCTCCCTGCAGTCTCTGGATTTCCTTGCTCTCACTGAGACCTGGATTACTCCATCCAACACATCCACCCCAGCAGCTCTCTCCACAGCATATTCCTTCTCCCATACACCCAGACCCACTGGCAGAGGAGGTGGCACTGGTCTCCTGCTCTCTCCCAAATGGAGCTTTTCCCTCTTCAAGCTACCTAACTTCACTCCTTCCACCTTTGAATTCCATGCCGTCACAGTAACCCATCCTATACAACTAACCATTGGGGGACTTCTTGGAGGAATTAGATCATCTCCTCTCACACATCCCTGAAACTGGCCCTTCCGCTGTATTTCTCGGAGACTTCAACCTCCAGACAGGGAAGATAGACGAACTAACATCTCGGTTAACCGCCTTTGCTTTCTCACTGTCTCCATCCCCACCAACTCATAAAGCTGGCAATGTCCTTGATCTCATATTCTCAAGGAACTGCTCTACTTCTAACCTCTCTGTAAACCCGCTTCACACATCCGATCACTTCTTCATTTCATTCTCTCTACCCCTTTCCAAACATAACAAACTAATCTCTTCTCATCCTGCACCTGTCCGCCGCAACCTCCGTTCCCTCTCCCCCTTTACTCTGACCTCATCGGTGCTCTCAGCCCTCCCTTCCTCTGACTCGTTCCAACTTCTGCCTCCAAACTCTGCTGCAGAAACTCTCTACTCTCTCATCCTCTCTGGACTCTCTCTGTCCTCTCAC